GACCCTTAATCTATGAATCTATGAATCTATGAATCATCAAAATAACAATGCTCTGTGACCTAGCATTCTTCTGGATGACAGGGATGCACAATGCACAGGTTCTTAGGAGTGCCAGCACTGTTTTTGTCCACCTGTTAGGGTACTAGGACATAGGAATACAGATCCAATGGTGATTAGTTAATATTTGTCACACAGCCAAGAGACAAGCTAGCTGAGGAAGCATATCAGGAAGCCAAGAGTCTGAATCAGGGTGTCCTGAAGCAAGGTGGTTAACACCCTGAGGAAAGCCTATTAAACAGTCTGTAGTCCACTGTCCCAGATTCACTGGGAGGCAGCAGGCTCCTACTGAAGCCCATCAGGATGCATATAGATCCTGATGCAACTCAGACAGACGATCAGTTAAGCCAGAGCTGGCTGTTAAGGCCTTCTGACACATCCACTCAGGTGGATATTGCCTCAGGTGTAACAGCTAAATGGATGGCTAAATTTGGCACTAAATGGGTTCCCAGTTTCTTGGTGCATTTTTATAGAATTGTTTTCATGAAAACAACAGGTAATTTTTTTTTTTAAATTACCATTATCCAGACACTTTATGAGATAGCCATTACATCCAATCTCTTGCGTCTTTGATTTGCAGCTCCATAAATATGGTGATGCGGTTTATCAGGCAATGTGGATTTAGTTATGGTGAGAATGCCCTTGATGTACAGAGATAGAGCCATGCAATTACTGGGGCAATTATAAGTAACCTCTGCCTTGAGATGCATGCAGCTCAGTCAGTAAACAGTTACTGCCTGTGCACTGTTTGGCAAATTATAAGGGGAAAATTACACAGGTCATATGTCTGAACAGCTACTGTGTCTGAACAGCCACTGCGAGGAGGGTGAACAATGAGTTTGGTGGCTGTTAGAGGTAGTTAACCTGACAGGAAATCCATTCCTAAGCAGCTAATGGTGAAGTGAGTTTGAAACTAGATGCAAGATAATGAGCATAGTCTATATTTATACTAGAATAAGTATTTTATGGCATATCTAAAATCTAATTTACATACTGATGTAAAAATAAGACCTTGTGGATGTTCAAACAATGGTGTAGCTGGCAATGGGAATTCAGATGAGGCCCAATTTATGAGAATGGACAATGACCAAAGGTCTGACATCACAACATATCATTTATATTGCAAACAATTTAAAATGGTCTCAAATCTGGGTTGACCTATGTGCTGACTGGGTGGGCTCTGACCTACCCACCTCTGTCTACAGCACTTGCATCTCAAGAGGGAGAGCAATTTGTTTTTTTTAAATTATGATTCAGACTATCAGATTCAGGAGGTTAAGAGTGGAGTTAAGCAAGGCCATGTCATCATTCCAACATTCTTCTCGATATTCTTTACCATGATGTTACATCTGACCACCAATAAGCTTCCAGTTGGAGTGTAGCTAAAGTACTGAATGGATGGTAAATTGTTTAATCTCAGCCAACTCCAAGCCAAAACCAAGACCATCCCAACCTCAATCGTCGAGCTCTGGTACACTGATGATGTTGCAATGTGTGCTCACGTAGAAGCAGATCTTAAGGTGATTGTCAACATCTTTACTGAGGCATACAAGAAAATGGGACTAACTCTTAACATTCAGAAGACTAAGGTCTTCCATCAACAAGCTTTTAATAAGACGTAGGGCTGTGCAAAACAGCACTGTTCCATTTCAACTTGCGCTTCAACAGAACAGCATTTCATTTTGAATTTTGTTTTGATTTGAAACTGCTGTTCCTTTTTGTTTCATCGAAATAGTTTCACTGTTTTGATGCTGCTTCGACGTTCCGCCCATTGGCTATAATGGGGAAGCTCAAAACAGCCTATAACTTTGTCATTTCTGGCTTGATTTGGATGAAACTTGTAGGAATGCTAGCCCCTTCTGAGGACATGAAGCCTGCCATGTATCATGGAGATAGGTGCAGAGGTTTCAGGGAAACTGCGCCTCAATGTCTTGAAAGCAAAAAACTCATGTCACATATATGTGTTAAGCCACAGTGGGGTCAAAACTGCAGGGATGTTAGCCCATGTGGAGGCCACAAAGCCTGCCAAGTTTCAAGGAGATAGGTGCAGGGGTTTGGGGGAAACTATACCTCAAGCTGCAGACAAGCAAAACTCGTGACATGGGTGACACTGTGTGCGTTAAGGCGCAGCAGGGTGAAAACTGCAGGCCTGCTAGGCCCTGCTGTGGCCACAAAGCCTGCCAGCTGTCAAGAAGATCCGTGCAGGGCTTCTGGGTTCTGGGACCCTGCACCTCTGGCTGCTGACAGGCAAAACTCATGACATGGGTGGGTGACACTGTGTGTGTGTGTTAAGGTGTGCCCTCACTCAGCTGACACCAAGGCAGAAAGCAGGGCAGTTCAAACAATGCTGCCTTTTATGCAGTTTTTCCATCCCTCCCCCACAGCACTGGGATTGGAAGGGACCTCAGGGAAGGATGACAGTCACTGAGCAGTCCTTCCCGATCCCTTCCCCCATCTTCCCCTTCCATCTCCTTACTTTAGTTTCTGTTTCCCTGCAGGCAAGCCCAGGTTGAGCTTCAAAGCTTGAAACATTTAAAAAATTTTGAAACATTTCAACTTGCCTTGTTTCATTTCAAAACTCTCTGTTTCATTTTTATTTCACTGTTTTGAGCTTGACATGAGTTGAAACAGCATTGAAACAAAACTGCCGGTGAAATTTTGCACAGCCCTAATGAGCAGTCCCCAGCTTCAGCAATTGAGTTTCAGTCACCATGGCTTGAAATGCTGTTGACTGTGATGAGGCCCAGCCCAATGAACTATATGGTAAATCATGAGCCTTTTGGATTTGGACTAAGGTCATGTGTAGTTTGTACTATATATAAGTAGGTACTGATGATGTGGGCCCAGAACTGGCAGTCAACAGTCTGGAGGTGGTGCCAGAGCTCCTGGGCATCCATGGTGTTCTGGGTGGCCTCATCCTCTTCAGCCATAATGAAGTCAATGGCTTAATCTGGAACACTTCCCAGGCACAGAGTGCAATAGATGGCCCCCCATGGGATAGCTGACTGGTGGCTCAGGGGCAAGAAGAAGTGTCCCATGGTGACCAGCTACCA